GGGGAATAGGGTGGAGGAATCAATAATAAGAATGGAGAAACTGCAGCGCCTGTTGGCCCATACTGGAGCGTCCCGTTTACACCAGCCCTATTGCTCATATATCCATCCAACCTGTGTTTGAAGCTATCCAGCCTGTTAGAGTTAATGGTGATGTTTGGTAACTTGTTCCAGTCATCCACTACTCTATTTCCAAACCAGTGTTTACCTATTTCGCTCCTAAATCTAAATTTAACTAATCTAAAACCATTGTTACGAGTTCGCTCCTGGTTGGATAGTTTGAGTACATTTGTTATGTCCCCTTTGTTTAGCCCTGACTTCCATTTATACACCTCTACCATATCGCCCCTCACTCTACGTCTCTCGAGGGAGTGCAAATTAAGATGCTTTAACCTGTCTCTGTAGTCAAGGTTCCTAATGCCCGGGGGGTAAATAGGGAGGGAGGTTAATTTGGGGGTAGGAGGATGGGTGGGGAAGAATGGGTTTAGGGAAGGAGAGAGAGAATATATGAATGAGTGTAGGAATCAGAGAGAGAGGGAGAGGGTATGTGTGTATGAGTGTAAGAATCAGAGAATGAATAACCTAACCTAACACTACTCTAACCAAAACTAACCTAACTACAACATTTTGCCCAAATGATTAAATATGAAGCATTACCCTTTGACCTTTGCCTGACCAAGGACTGATATAAATAGTGTAGAGGCGTGTTGTTTGACCGGGCACCACAAAACCTATATCTAGTGGCCTGGGGACTCACTGACATGTATAGACGCCTGAATTATAGACGCCTGAATTATAGACGCCTGAATTATAGACGCCTGAATTATGGACGCCTGAATTATGGACGCCTGAATTATGGACGCCTGAATTATGGACGCCTGAATTATAGACGCCTGATTATAGACGCCTGAATTATAGACGCCTGAATTATGGACGTGATTATAGACGCCTGAATTATAGACGCCTGAATTATGGACGCCTGAATTATAGACGCCTGAATTATAGACGCCTGAATTATGGACGCCTAAATTGGACGCCTGAATTATAGACGCCTGAATTTATGGCAGATTATAGCCTGAATTATAGACGCCTGAATTATAGGACGCCTGAATTATAGACGCCTGAATATGGACGCCTGGATTATAGACGCCTGAATTATAGACCTACCAGATTATGGACGCTGAATTATGGACGCCTGAATTTGGAACGCCTGAATTATGGATGCCTGGATTATAGACGCCTGAATTATAGACGCCTGAATTATAGACGCCTGAATTATAGACGCCTGAATTATAGACGCGCCTGAATTATGGACGCCTGAATTATAGACGCCTGAATTATCTCAGGTATTATTATTACGTTGATAGCTTCTAGATAACTACCAACCTATCATGGGATTTAAATATTAGAGAAATAATTGGTATATAAAAAGAGATACCGAATGAGATAGAGAGAGATAGTGTTATAAGTGGTTATTGTCATCAGTAAATCAGACGCCATTCTCTGTTATCTGATTACTTATAAATTGTTACCTTTCTTGGTTATGTCTTATTCTTCTTTTATTCTCCGTTTATATCTTATTACCAATTTCTTCACTTCCTTTTACACAACTTGGTGGAGTGTTGAGGCAGATGTGACGACAGTGATGACATATGATGACCTGACCTGACCATAGCCTAACTAATTAACGTTTTCTTACCTTACCTCACTTAACCTAATCTCAGCAAACATTTATAAAACTATAAATGAAGTTAGTCATTAGTGAAGATTAAATACCATAGTAGATAATAAGGGCGTGTAATGGGTGATTATTGTACACTTGTCACCTCGTTGTGTTTTATCTCTGATGGGTCACAGTGTTCAGTTCCTGCCTTATTGTTGTTGTTGTTGTTATTATTAAACCATACATGTTTGCAGTTGGTTTGGCATGTATGTAGACAGTGCAGGTATACAGTTCAGTGTGTATGTACAGTATACAGTTCATTCACAGACCACGCAGGTGAACAAATGATTGTTGTTGTTGGTATTATAAGTTATTCTGAGCATCGTGTTGGTGGTCTTTCTTATATACACTTGTTATCACACACACACACACACAGCTGCATTGTTTGTTTTGTTAGATATTATAACACTGGGTGAGGTTAGGTTATAGTTTTGGACGGCCGCGAGTTCGTTGAAGAGCAGATGTTAATGTAGTAATTTTTATCGTTAATTTCTTGTTGAAGGCGTCAGTGTATTGTGGAAACCTAAACAGAGACTGACCAATGAGCTTGAAGATACATTCCAAGAGAGCCAATAAGATAAGAGGGGGTAGAAAGTGACCAATCAGGATTAGGAGCGGCTAGGTTGTACGCCAATCAAGAAGCAGGACGGCTGGTGTACCTGAGTGAGAGCAAGTTGTCACAAGATTTCGTCGTGTACCAGAAAGTTTGGTGGTGGCTGGTGTGTGTGTGGCGGCGGCGGAGGTGGTGGTGGTGGGGAAGCCCCTTCACTCGGGTGCTGACAACGAGCACACACATCGGAGGGCTCCGCGCACGGCTGGACTTGGTACCCCGCGCCGCGCCCTATCGCTCCAGTCAGCCCAGCCACCTCGAAAACTGTAGCTCGCGACAGAACCTTTTGTATCCGCCTTACCGTACCCCCAGTACTGTACCTTCTATACTAGGACACTTTAGTATTGATCCATATATTGACTCTCTCGTGATACGTGTTCGCAGATTGGTTAACTGTGCACCCAAAAGAACTCACTAAACCGTAGCCAGAAACTCTTGAAAAACAAACAAAAAAAGTCTTAGAGAAAACGTAAGAGGACAGATGAGACTTGTCTAAGAGGCAGCATCCGTGAGAGAGAGACAGCATGCACACCTATTTATACCCGGGATACCCTGGCTATCGTAAGTAAATCCTGCCACAAGTACGCGGAGGTCCTCACAGTACCTCGGTGACGGCCAGGAAACTCACACCGCATCTCTCTCTCTCTCTCTCTCTCTCTCTCTCTCTCTCTCTTTCTCTCTCTCTCTCCCTCTCCCCCCATACCCCACACACGCCCCCTATATTTTCTCACGACAACTCTTTCATTCTTCTGCTGCCTCTCCGTCACCCTCCTTCTGAGTGGCGGTCATCACTAGGCTCCTCGGCCCTCCTCCACCACTACACAATGGCTCACTACACGTTACTCACTCACTGCCACACAGAGCGACTATTACCAGTACCTCCTTCTGCCTTACACATTGCCAATCAGAACAGCTAGTACCGGTACCTCCTGCCACTCAGAGCAGCCAGGACCTCTCACCCCACACACTGGCACTCAGAGTAACCAGTACATCCTACCAATCAGAGCAGCCAGGACCTTTTACCCCCGCACACTGTCACTCAGAGCAGCCAGGTCCTCTCACTCCACACATAGCCACTCAGAGCAGCCCAAATTAGTCACCTGTTTCACATACACTTAGCTCCTGGTGTCTCATCGACTGGGGGCTCTTAAGACTAACACAATATACTCTCACGTCCCCTCCCTTGGTAACCATCCCTGACGTATACTGTAACTTACACACCATCACACGTCACCACACAGCACCACACATAACTAAACAGCACCATACATCACTACACATCACCATACATCACCACCTCATCCTCCTCCTTAAACTCTTTGGATCTAAGAATACAGATATTTTTAACAGTTAACCGAGAAGATTTAACTAAAACTGGGGTAAATAAGAAACTAAATTTAACCTAACCAAACCCGGGTGCCACCGTCTGTCTGTCTTGTTAACTTAGCGGGTCGTCTGTTAAAATTATTACCGAATTATATAACAAAAAACAAACAAAAGGAAAATTTATTAACCTTCTTCAGAATGTATCAAAGGAAACCCACATTAGAACCTATATCTTTAAGAAATGTTACTAAACACGATGGAAGAGGTGGCCATTTTGTTCTGGCATCACTGTGAACTGTTTAGAACTAGAGAAATTATTACCAGGTTAGCAAGAATACTTTACTATCAATACTCTCTCTCTCTCTCTCTCTCTCTCTCTCTCTCTCTCTCTCTCTCTCTCATTATTATTATCAGGGTAACTGCCATAGTAAAATAAACATTGATTTTTAATGGTAAATTCTCCTTGGGATTGTATTGAGGTAATTGAGGATGGGGGGGGGGATAGGGAGGAAGAGGCTGTGTTTTGGGGATAGACTAAGATGGTTAAAAGGCTAGGCTGTGTGTTAGGATAGACAGGGATGGTGGAAAGGTTACGAGTGTTAGGATAGACTTCGGATAGGGAGGAAAAGCCTGTATTTGGGATAGACTGTGTGGGGGGACAGACTTAGGATAGGCAGAGAAGGATGGTTTTAAGGATAGACTAAACAAGGATGAACTAATCTCTAGATAAGGATAGTGGCGAATAGACCTTATAACACAGATTTGGAGGGAAGGTTTTAACACACTGAAACACCATAAAGGAATTTGGACTCAATGGAAGGTATTTATTTTTGTTTACGTCTTCAAATTGTTGTTATTTATTGATTATATGAAGAGAGTTTGTCATGAATTACCGGCTGGAATGGAAAGATCATTATTATTATGGCTTATGAGATATGTAACGAAGGGTGTGCCGAGCAGGATAGGACTCGGAGCAACGGATTTAAGTTGGATAAGTTTAGGTTTAGGAGGGAGATAGGAAGGAACTGGTTCACAAATAGGGTGGTGGACGAGTGGAACAAGCTTAGCAACTATGTAGTAAGTGCGGGAACTCTGGAAGTTTCAAAAGGAGGCTAGATAGATTCATGGATGATAGAGAGTGGTAGTAACTCGGCAGGAGCTGCCATGCACAGGCCAACCGGCTTATTGCAGACTCCTTATTCTCTCTCTCTCTCTCTCTCTCTCTCTTTCTCTTTCTCTTTCTTTCAGTCGGTATTTGTAACTCAACATAACACATTAAGTGTTCCGTGTGTGTGTGTGTAGTGAGGGGTAAATTGTGTATTAATGGTTTACTCAACATTACAGAGATGCTGGCTGGTCGAGTACTGTCTACTGTACCCGAAGAAGATTTCCTGCCGGAGGTTGGTGAGACTCCTGAGTTACCACCACCTCCTCCTCCAGCCACCTCTTCCTCCTCTTCGTCCCCTCTACAGTATACTGCTAGAGTCACCACCGGCACCTCCTTCCTCGAGCCTTCCTCCTCCCCCACCAACTCTCCCTCACTGCAGCTGCTGTGCAGGTGTTCCAGGGAGTCAGTGTCTCCAGCACAGACAGCAGCAGCAGGAACAACAACAACCTTGTGGCAGCAACAGCAGCAGCAGCAGCAGCAGCAACAGCAACAGCAGCAACAGCAGCAACAACAACAACAACAGCAGCAGCAACAGCAGCAGCAGCAGCAGCAGCAGCAGTTGGTTAACCTTCCTGCTCAGTCGCCGCCTGTACCCTATCAGAGCTCCATAGTGAGGACGCCCCTCTTGTCCTCGCAGCCCCAGCAGGCGATACACCTTCAGCAGCCACCAACTCCGCCACAGCTGCAGCAGCCACCTACTCCTCCTCAGCTGCAGCAGCCCCACACTCCACCTCACACGCCGCTGCAGCAACAGTCTCCAGCTTCCCCACAGCAGCAGCACCAGGCAGCACCCAGATCATTCATCCGCAGCCACAGTCAGCATGAACTCACCACCCAACAACAGGCGCCACACATTCATCATGACAATCCCTTCATCATCCCTAAGGTAAGTTATGTGTCTCCTCTATCACACACACACGAGACAGACAGACAACAGTACAATGGTCAGTACAGTACAGTACAGTATAGTAAAATACAGTACAGTACAGTATAGTAAAATACAGTACAGTACAGTATAATACAGTAGAGTATAGTATAATACAGTACAGTATAGTAAAATACAGTACAGTACAGTATAATACAGTATAGTACAGTACAGTATATAATACAGTACAGTATAATACAGTATAGTACAGTACAGTATAATACAGTACAGTACAGTATAATACAGTATAGTATAGTACAGTACAGTACAGTACAGTATAGTATAGTATAATACAGTACAGTACAGTATAACACAGTACAGTACAGTATAGTATAGTACAGTACAGTACAGTACAGTATAATACAGTACAGTACAGTATAGTATAACACAGTACAGTACAGTATAGTATAACACAGTACAGTACAGTACAGTATAGTATAACACAGTACAGTACAGTAGAGGAAGGTGAGGCTACACTATCTCACCAGGTGGCGGCCTCCACACCACCGTCGTGTCGTCCTCCTGAAAATGTTTTCTGTTTATTATCACTGGGGAGGTGTGGCCGCTGTGGTGGGTGGCCACTGGCCCTGAAAGTGGCTGTAAGGGAGGGGTAGAAGCGGCTTCTCCACCGTCAGGAACCTGGCGAGCCACAGCGGGTACGGTGTGAGAGGCCTGTGGGGGAAAGATGGTGAGTATGTAGACAGCAACTCCTCCCCAGACGGCGGCGAGAGACAGCAGTTCCTGCAACAGGCGGCCGAGGCCCGCCCTCACACAACCACCAGACTTTATCATGTATCCAAACTTGTCGGCGGCACATTCGATAAAATTCGTTTCTTGCGCGCGGAGTGGTATATATACCCGAGGGGGCGGGGCCGGCGTGAGGCGGGGCTTGGCGGGGTCCAGTGGGGTGCGTGGTGGGGAGACATGACCGGCCTAGGGGAACATTACCGGCGACGCTCGCTACTATCATAGATCAATAATACAAGTTACCCTCACCCATAACACTTGTTATTATTACTACCAAGAAATGTTTGGAGTTGTCTAACGGTGTTGGAGAAGGAGGGATGTGGTGGTGCAGGAGGGGGGTTTGTTGGTGGAGAAGGGGTGGGGTGGGCGGGGCATAATGTGGTGTTCTTCCACCATGTGATCAACACGTGGTTGATGATGACCACTACCGCTGTTACTAGGCCCTCCCTCCACACCTCCCTCCACTACGCACTTTCAGCATACCAACACCCTCCACCACCACCCACTTTCCCTCACTTCCTCCACCACCACACCCTCCGCCTCTAACCTCCCTCCATCACTATATTCTCTCCACCTCTACACACCCTCCCTCCACCACTACCCTCCCTCCCTCCACCACTACCCTCCCTCCCCTACCCTCCCTCCTCTCCCCCTCCCTCCACCTCCCACCTACACACCTCACACTACACATCACCCTCCCACCCCTACACCTCCCTCCCCACCACCCCTCCCCTACCCTACCTCCCTCCCTCCACCCTACCCCTCCCCTCCCTCCCACCCTACACCCACCCTCCCCTACTACCCCTTCCCTCCCACCCACCCACCCCTCCCTCCCTCCCCCACTACCCCTCCCCTCCCCTCCCCCTACCTCCCTCCCCTCCCCCCACCCCTCCCCTCCCTCCCACCCTACCCCTCCCCTCCCTCCCCCTACACACCCCTCCCCCTACCTCCCTCCCCTCCCCCACCTCCCTCCCTCCCCTCCCTCCCCCTCCACACACTGCACCTCCACCACTACACCTCCACCACTACACCTCCTCCACACCACCTCCCTCACCTGCACACCTCCACCACCACCACCTCCTCCACCACCCCTCCTCCCCACACTGCCTCCCCACTCCCTCCTCCCCCTCCCTCCACCACTACCCTCCTCCACCATTTAGCTAGACAGATATTCAGTAAAGTCACCACCACAAGTTCACAACATAAACTGAGTCACCAAACTGCCAGAACACTTAACACTATTTAACTCCTAACATATGTAAGTCCTTAGGTTGGGTGAGGTGAAAGAGGCGTTATTGGATATAAACCAAACATGATGCCAGGCGTTCATGGAGTTTTGTCCTCACCTGTACAGCGATAGGACAGGTGTACAAACAATGTACAGTATATAGACAGTGCAGGTATACAGTTCAGTATGTATATAGACAGTGCAGGTATACAGTTCAGTATGTATATAGACAACGCAGGTATACAGTTCAGTATGTATATAGACAGTGCAGGTATACAGTTCAGTATGTATATAGACAGTGCAGGTATACAGTTCAGTATGTATATAGACAACGCAGGTATACAGTTCAGTATGTATATAAGACTGGTGCAGGTATACACAGTTGCAGGCTGGTATATGAACCAGTGCAGGTATACAGTTCAGTATGTATATAGACAGTGCAGGTATACAGTTCAGTATGTATATAGACAACGCAGGTATACAGTTCAGTATGTATATAGACAACGCAGGTATACAGTTCAGTATGTATATAGACAGTGCAGGTATACAGTTCAGTATGTATATAGACAGTGCAGGTATACAGTTCAGTACAGTATATAGACAGTGCAGGTATACAGTTCAGTATGTATATAGACAGTGCAGGTATACAGTTCAGTATGTATATAGACAGTGCAGGTATACAGTTCAGTATGTATATAGACAGTGCAGGTATACAGTTCAGTATGTATATAGACAGTGCAGGTATACAGTTCAGTATGTATATAGACAACGCAGGTAGGCAGCATACATAGACATTACAGGTATATAAACAATGTACCTAGATTGTTCAGGTAAACAAACAATGGTAAAAAGTAAGGCAATTTGACCAAGGATGCCTAACAAAGCCATTAGATAGTTATTGCGCCATAGTTAGTTGAGGACAGTGGGAGTGGTAAGGCAGTGTTGCACCAAGCCGGCCAGAGCCTAGACGACGCTAACACTCACAAAAACTAGAGGTTACTACTTGTGGTATTAAACTTCCCGGGAGAGAGGGGGGGAGGTCCTTGGGAACTAACTAGCTCTTATACGCTTCTAAGATGATCAATACTTATGACTGATCTTGTTTCCAGCGGTTAGACTTTGAACTGAAGCACGAAAATCACTTCCAAATCTTACAAAAACACGAACATCATCTCAAAATCTAACTGAAACACATATCAATTCAAAATTTTCCTGAGACATGAATATCATTACAAAATTTTACTGAAACGTGAAAATCACTTCAAAATCTTATTGAACCACGAAAATCACGTCAAAAATGTATATTACACTCCATTTTTTCTTCACATGGGTGATAATACGGTATTAATTAAAAGTTTATTAACAACTCCAACAAACTAACACTGAAAATATACAAATAATATAACTGGTACATATATAATATACCCGGTGTGTGTGTGTCGTAATAAGTGCTTTTTTTCAGTATCTATTTAATGTAAAGTCTTGCCTCACTGGTGAATTTGTCCTTGGCTGGGTGTCTGAGGGCGTTCAGTCCACACAAGAATGACTCCTTAATTCTCTCTCTCTGTCATCTGTCGTGCTAGCCTATTTGGTGGTAGATGTCCCAGCGTGTGTGGTTAGATTAGGTTATGATTGGATAGGTTAGCACTGGGACCCATTTGACCTGCAGCTGTGAGGAATCGAAGTTTAGTTTAGGTTCGGTTTGGTTAGGTTAAGTGAGTGTTGTGGTGGCCTCCTCCCTCCTTGGGCTACTGTTCCTTTATTATCATTCTCCATCTCACCCCCACCTGTCTGACCATTCGTTCTCTTCCTCCCTGATCATTCCATCTTTCTCTTCCTCGCTGCTTCCTACTCTTGTTCCCACTCTTTCTTCTTCCCTCCCTCCCTCCCATCCTCACCACCATCACTCCCTCACACTATCGGGCTCAGTGATGGCAGATTAGATATGTTATCACGTCAGTTCATCACTGTTTGCACACCTGACTGGTAGGCTACCTGGCTGTGTGTCTACCTGGTTGTCTGTGCTACCTGGCTGTGTGTGTGTGTGTGTGTGTGTGTTGCTTTGTCTCTGCCTGGCTGTGTGTCTGTCAGGCTAACTGGCCCTTCAACCACATTCCACCAAGCGGCTGAGGGAAGTTGAATAATTAATTGACATAATTGGTCATCGGTGGAATTAATTCAGGTTGACGAGGAGGACATGATCACGTGATGAGGTGCTGGTAGTTGTGGTAGATGGTGGTAGGTGGCGGTGGTGGGTAGATAGGTGAATGTAGTGGATAGGTAGGTAGGGGTGGTAGGTAGGTAGGGGTGGTAATGGTGGTAGGTTGTGGTAGATGGTGGTGGGTAGACAGGTGAATGTAGTGGATAGGTAAGTAGGGGTGGTAGTGGTGGTAGCTAGGTAGTGGTGGTAGCTAGTACGTGGTGATGGTAGTGGTTGTTGTGGTTCATGGTGATGGATGGTCGTTAATTAATAGCATCGTGGCTATTTATTTTAGTAATCAATATAAGTGTACCTCACACACACACACACACACAGACACAGTAGGTCAGGTGGCCCCTTACTCCTAATTGACCCTAATCATCACTGGCCCTATTTCTTTGGTTAGGTTAGAGGTTTGTTAGGTTTGGTTGGGTTTCGTTAGATCAGGTCGGGGGCCCATTCCTTCTGCAAGCTGACTTCATACAAGCAGTGTCATGAGGTGTCATCTGTGGTGGTGGAGGGGGGTGTCAGCTGTGGAGGAGGGTGTCAGCTGTGGAGGAGGGTGTCAGTAGTGGTGGTGGAGGGAGGTGTCAGCTGTGGAGGAGGGTGTCAGCTGTGGTGGTGGAGGGAGGTGTCAGCTGTGGTGATGGAGGGGGTGTCAGCTGTGGAGGGGTGTCAGTAGTGGTGGTGGAGGGAGGTGTCAGCTGTGGAGGAGGGTGTCAGCTGTGGTGGTGGAGGGTGTCAGCTGTGGTGATGGAGGGGGTGTCAGCTGTGGAGGAGGGTGTC